GTGTAGGTGAGTGTCACTGTGTGTGTGGTGAGTGTCTGTGTGTGTGTAGGTGAGTGTCTGTGTGTGTAGGTGAGTGTCTGTGTGTAGGTGTGTGTCACTGTGTGTGTAGGTGAGTGTCTGTGTGTGTGTAGGTGTGTGTCACTGTGTGTAGGTGTGTGTCACTGTGTGTGTGGTGAGTGTCTGTGTGTGTGTAGGTGTGTGTCTGTGTGTGTGTAGGTGTGTGTCACTGTGTGTGTAGGTGAGTGTCTGTGTGTGTGTAGGTGAGTGTCTGTGTGTGTGTAGGTGTGTGTCACTGTGTGTGTAGGTGAGTGTCTGTGTGTGTAGGTGAGTGTCTGTGTGTAGGTGTGTGTCACTGTGTGTGTAGGTGAGTGTCTGTGTGTGTGTAGGTGTGTGTCACTGTGTGTAGGTGTGTGTCACTGTGTGTGTGGTGAGTGTCTGTGTGTGTGTAGGTGAGTGTCACTGTGTGTGTGGTGAGTGTCTGTGTGTGTGTAGGTGTGTGTCACTGTGTGTGTGGTGAGTGTCTGTGTGTGTGTAGGTGTGTGTCACTGTGTGTGTGGTGAGTGTCTGTGTGTGTGTAGGTGAGTGTCTGTGTGTGTAGGTGTGTGTCACTGTGTGTGTGGTGAGTGTCTGTGTGTGTGTAGGTGAGTGTCTGTGTGTGTGTAGGTGAGTGTCACTGTGTGTGTGGTGAGTGTCTGTGTGTGTGTAGGTGTGTGTCACTGTGTGTGTAGGTGAGTGTCTGTGTGTGTAGGTGAGTGTCTGTGTGTGTAGGTGTGTGTCTGTGTGTGTGTAGGTGTGTGTCACTGTGTGTGTGTAGGTGAGTGTCTGTGTGTGTGTAGGTGTGTGTCACTGTGTGTAGGTGTGTGTCACTGTGTGTGTGGTGAGTGTCTGTGTGTGTAGGTGTGTGTCACTGTGTGTGTGTAGGTGTGTGTCACTGTGTGTGTGGTGAGTGTCTGTGTGTGTGTAGGTGTGTGTCACTGTGTGTGTGGTGAGTGTCTGTGTGTGTGTAGGTGAGTGTCTGTGTGTGTGTAGGTGAGTGTCTGTGTGTGTAGGTGAGTGTCTGTGTGTGTGTAGGTGAGTGTCTGTGTGTGTGGTGAGTGTCTGTGTGTGTGTAGGTGAGTGTCACTGTGTGTGTGGTGAGTGTCTGTGTGTGTGTAGGTGAGTGTCTGTGTGTGTAGGTGAGTGTCTGTGTGTAGGTGTGTGTCACTGTGTGTGTAGGTGAGTGTCTGTGTGTGTGTAGGTGTGTGTCACTGTGTGTAGGTGTGTGTCACTGTGTGTGTGGTGAGTGTCTGTGTGTGTGTAGGTGTGTGTCTGTGTGTGTGTAGGTGTGTGTCACTGTGTGTGTAGGTGAGTGTCTGTGTGTGTGTAGGTGAGTGTCTGTGTGTGTGTAGGTGTGTGTCACTGTGTGTGTAGGTTGAGTGTCTGTGTGTGTAGGTGAGTGTCTGTGTGTAGGTGAGTGTCTGTGTGTGTGTAGGTGTGTGTCACTGTGTGTAGGTGTGTGTCACTGTGTGTGTGGTGAGTGTCTGTGTGTGTGTAGGTGTGTGTCACTGTGTGTGTAGGTGAGTGTCTGTGTGTGTGTAGGTGAGTGTCTGTGTGTGTGTAGGTGTGTGCCACTGTGTGTGTGGTGAGTGTCTGTGTGTGTGTAGGTGTGTGTCACTGTGTGTGTAGGTGAGTGTCTGTGTGTGTAGGTCAGTGTCTGTGTGTGTGTAGGTGTGTGTCACTGTGTGTGTAGGTGAGTGTCTGTGTGTGTGTAGGTGTGTGCCACTGTGTGTGTGGTGAGTGTCTGTGTGTGTGTAGGTGTGTGTCACTGTGTGTGTAGGTGAGTGTCTGTGTGTGTGTAGGTGTGTGTCACTGTGTGTGTAGGTGAGTGTCTGTGTGTGTGTAGGTGTGTGTCACTGTGTGTGTGGTGAGTGTCTGTGTGTGTGTAGGTGTGTGTCACTGTGTGTGTAGGTGAGTGTCTGTGTGTAGGTGTGTGTCACTGTGTATGTGGTGAGTGTCTCTGTGTGTGTAGGTGTGTGTCACTGTGTGTGTGGTGAGTGTATGCGTGTGTAGGTGTGTGTCACTGTGTGTGTGGTGAGTGTCTGTGTGTGTGTAGGTGTGTGTCACTGTGTGTGTGTGTGTGTAGGTGTGTGTCACTGTGTGTGTGGGAGTGTCTGTGTGTGTAGGTGTGTGTCACTGTGTGTGGTGAGTGTCTGTGTGTGTGTAGGTGTGTGTCACTGTGTGTAGGTGTGTGTCACTGTGTGTGTGGTGAGTGTCTGTGTGTGTGTAGGTGAGTGTCACTGTGTGTGTGGTGAGTGTCTGTGTGTGTGTAGGTGTGTGTCACTGTGTGTGTGGTGAGTGTCTGTGTGTGTGTAGGTGTGTGTCACTGTGTGTGTGGTGAGTGTCTGTGTGTGTGTAGGTGAGTGTCTGTGTGTGTAGGTGTGTGTCACTGTGTGTGTGGTGAGTGTCTGTGTGTGTGTAGGTGAGTGTCTGTGTGTGTGTAGGTGAGTGTCACTGTGTGTGTGGTGAGTGTCTGTGTGTGTGTAGGTGTGTGTCACTGTGTGTGTAGGTGAGTGTCTGTGTGTGTAGGTGAGTGTCTGTGTGTGTAGGTGTGTGTCTGTGTGTGTAGGTGTGTGTCTGTGTGTGTGTAGGTGTGTGTCACTGTGTGTGTGTAGGTGAGTGTCTGTGTGTGTGTAGGTGTGTGTCACTGTGTGTAGGTGTGTGTCACTGTGTGTGTGGTGAGTGTCTGTGTGTGTAGGTGTGTGTCACTGTGTGTGTGTAGGTGTGTGTCACTGTGTGTGTGGTGAGTGTCTGTGTGTGTGTAGGTGTGTGTCACTGTGTGTGTGGTGAGTGTCTGTGTGTGTGTAGGTGAGTGTCTGTGTGTGTGTAGGTGAGTGTCTGTGTGTGTAGGTGAGTGTCTGTGTGTGTGTAGGTGAGTGTCTGTGTGTGTGGTGAGTGTCTGTGTGTGTGTAGGTGAGTGTCACTGTGTGTGTGGTGAGTGTCTGTGTGTGTGTAGGTGAGTGTCTGTGTGTGTAGGTGAGTGTCTGTGTGTAGGTGTGTGTCACTGTGTGTGTAGGTGAGTGTCTGTGTGTGTGTAGGTGTGTGTCACTGTGTGTAGGTGTGTGTCACTGTGTGTGTGGTGAGTGTCTGTGTGTGTGTAGGTGTGTGTCTGTGTGTGTGTAGGTGTGTGTCACTGTGTGTGTAGGTGAGTGTCTGTGTGTGTGTAGGTGAGTGTCTGTGTGTGTGTAGGTGTGTGTCACTGTGTGTGTAGGTGAGTGTCTGTGTGTGTAGGTGAGTGTCTGTGTGTAGGTGTGTGTCACTGTGTGTGTAGGTGAGTGTCTGTGTGTGTGTAGGTGTGTGTCACTGTGTGTAGGTGTGTGTCACTGTGTGTGTGGTGAGTGTCTGTGTGTGTGTAGGTGTGTGTCACTGTGTGTGTAGGTGAGTGTCTGTGTGTGTGTAGGTGAGTGTCTGTGTGTGTGTAGGTGTGTGCCACTGTGTGTGTGGTGAGTGTCTGTGTGTGTGTAGGTGTGTGTCACTGTGTGTGTAGGTGAGTGTCTGTGTGTGTAGGTCAGTGTCTGTGTGTGTGTAGGTGTGTGTCACTGTGTGTGTAGGTGAGTGTCTGTGTGTGTGTAGGTGTGTGCCACTGTGTGTGTGGTGAGTGTCTGTGTGTGTGTAGGTGTGTGTCACTGTGTGTGTAGGTGAGTGTCTGTGTGTGTGTAGGTGTGTGTCACTGTGTGTGTAGGTGAGTGTCTGTGTGTGTGTAGGTGTGTGTCACTGTGTGTGTGGTGAGTGTCTGTGTGTGTGTAGGTGTGTGTCACTGTGTGTGTAGGTGAGTGTCTGTGTGTAGGTGTGTGTCACTGTGTATGTGGTGAGTGTCTCTGTGTGTGTAGGTGTGTGTCACTGTGTGTGTGGTGAGTGTATGCGTGTGTAGGTGTGTGTCACTGTGTGTGTGGTGAGTGTCTGTGTGTGTGTAGGTGTGTGTCACTGTGTGTGTGGTGAGTGTGTGTGTGTAGGTGTGTGTCACTGTGTGTGTGGGAGTGTCTGTGTGTGTAGGTGTGTGTCACTGTGTGTGGTGAGTGTCTGTGTGTGTAGCTGAGTGTCACTGTGTGTGTAGCTGAGTGTCACTGTGTGTGTAGCTGAGTGTCACTGTGTGTGTAGCTGAGTGTCACTGTGTGTGTAGCTGAGTGTCACTGTGTGTGTAGGTGAGTGTCACTGTGTGTGTGTAGCTGTGTGTGTGTAGCTGAATATCACTGTGTGTGTGTAGCTGAGTGTCACTGTGTGTAGCTGAGTGTCACTGTGTGTAGCTGAGTGTCACTGTGTGTAGCTGAGTGTCACTGTGTGTAGCTGAGTGTCACTGTGTGTAGCTGAGTGTCACTGTGTATGTGTAGCTGAGTGTCACTGTGTGTAGCTGAGTGTCACTGTGTGTAGCTGTGTGTGTGTAGCTGAGTGTCACTGTGTGTAGCTGAGTGTCACTGTGTGTAGCTGTGTGTGTGTAGGTGAGTGTCACTGTGTGTGTAGCTGAGTGTCACTGTGTATAGCTGAGTGTCACTGTGTGTAGCCGAGTGTCACTGTGTGTAGCTGTGTGTGTGTAGCTGAGTGTCACTGTGTGTAGCTGAGTGTCACTGTGTGTAGCTGTGTGTGTGTAGCTGAGTGTCACTGTGTATAGCTGAGTGTCACTGTGTGTAGCCGAGTGTCACTGTGTGTAGGTGTGTGTGTGTAGCTGAGTGTCACTGTGTGTAGCTGTGTGTGTGTAGCTGAGTGTCACTGTGTGTAGGTGTGTGTGTGTAGCTGAGTGTCACTGTGTGTAGCTGAGTGTCACTGTGTGTAGCTGAGTGTCACTGTGTGTAGCTGTGTGTGTGTAGCTGAGTGTCACTGTGTATAGCTGAGTGTCACTGTGTGTAGCCGAGTGTCACTGTGTGTAGGTGTGTGTGTGTAGCTGAGTGTCACTGTGTGTAGCTGTGTGTGTGTAGCTGAGTGTCACTGTGTGTAGGTGTGTGTGTGTAGCTGAGTGTCACTGTGTGTAGCTGAGTGTCACTGTGTGTGTAGCTGCTGCTGCGTGTGACGAGGTGGTCTGGCTCGACTCGTCACAGCGGCACTGTGACACTCCGCGAGATGGCGCGCGCCAGCACCTCGGCCACGCGGCAGACGGCGCCATGTGGCGCGCGCGTCCACCGCTGGGCACCGCCGCACCGCCCCCTCCTCCGCATTGCTGCTGCTCTCACGGCGGCCTTCTTCGACTCGCGAGTGGGGTAAGAGAGAGAAGCCGGGCTCGTCGAGAAGCCGGGCTCGTCGCGCGGCGTTGTGACGGGGGGGGGGGGGGGGCTGCGGTGGCGATGTCGGGTCAATGAGTGGCAACGCGTCGCTGTGAAGATCGTCGAGGGAGAAGTCTGCACGCTGCTGCTGCTGCTGCGTTCGCTCGCGCGGGTCACGGTGCCGCCGGGCGGCTCTCCGTCCACGCGCCCGTCCGTGCGTCCGTCTGCCTGCCCGATGGCCGCAGGGCGCTGTCCGCGGACACGATCTGCGGCAAGATTCCGGGACTGACGCCACAGCAGCGGGCGCTGTGCCGGAGCCACCCGGACGCGATGGTCGCGGTCGGCGAGGGCGCGCGCCTGGGAATCGGCGAGTGCCGGCACCAGTTCCGATTCAGCCGCTGGAATTGCTCGGCGCTGGGGGAGGAGACGGTGTTCGGCCAGGAGCTCCCAGGCGGTGAGCGCCCCGACTCGGCGTCAGTTCGGCAGAGGGGCGGACCCGCGGTGTGCGGTCACCCTGTGCGTCTCTCTCTGAATTCTAGAACTCGCAACGCGCCACGTTTCTTATTTATTTAAAAGTTTTTTCATTTCTCAATCATGGGCAGTCCTCTGCCTAGAACAGGAAAAAGAACAGGAGAAATCATGACCACAACCCGAGCCGGTGATCCTGTTGTAACAACCAGTGCCTGCACCACTCTCCCTGACAGCAGGTGCACCGAGTATGAAACACGAGAGACACATCCTGCACACAACCTTTGAGCGAACAAGTTTACCGTCGCCAGGGAAGAAACATGAATCCGCCTACCCTCGCAGCGGAGGCCGTCCTCAAACTCTGTGCCACACGGGGGTGGAGGCCACCGCCATTTCTCATTTGCAGCGTCACTGCCCACCATCTCTGTCTCCACCTACACCACCCTTTCCAACGGCCGACATGCAGGTGCCCTTAATCACTCTCCCGCGCGCCGCCCACAGGGCCGCCTCCTTCACGGCGCTTACGACGGCCCACGCCTGAGCCCAGACCTCCCCCGCCCTCTGTCTGAACATCCCCCAAATTATATTAGGCAATGTGGCCTTTACTGGACAAAAATGAGGCAGCAGAGGCCGACATAACTCCCACACCTCCCGAGCAAATGGGCACTGAGGGTGCGGGCCAATCTTCGGGAACACATGAACCGTCTTTATTCCGGCCTGTCCCAGGCCGCCAGCCAGGATAAATCCCATTGCCTTTTCGTCAGGGCTGGCGATGTTACGTTTTTCTAAAGTAGTCGGTGCACGGCACCCCGTGCACCTGGCACCTCTGTACCAGCCTGCTGCTTAGACGTCTCCGCCAGGACGTCCCTGGGAATCCACGACGCGCGTGTCTGGGCCGGCTCACGCCTCACGACGTGTTCGCTTGCCGCGGTGCACGACCACCCCTGAGGCCAAGCCGCGGGGGTGCCGCGCGGCAACGAAGCCGTCCCTGGCCACCGCAGGAGCCACGCCTGCCTGTGCCGTACGTAACGAGGCTTCCACCTGGAGTCCATTGGAGAAATACAGGTGCAGCGTGTCGCAGACCAGGATCGTGGCGAGGGTGCACGTGATATTCGGGGCGCCCCTCCCACCGTTCTCGACGCTTTTATTATTACACATCGTTTCCCGTTCCACTCGGCCCATCGCGCCCCCCCCCCCCCCCCCTCCCCAGATGAACCTGAAGAACATTCGCTGCAGTCTTTTCGCCATTTGCGCGCCCGGCGAGATCACGTAGGCCCGGTAGATAAGTGCCGGGAGGATTTCCACCCTCGGGACCAACATTCTACCATCCATTGGAAGGCGCCTGTCCGCCCGGCCGGCCGGCCTGCCCCTCACCGCCCTCTCCCTTCCCATCCAATGCTTCGTCGCCGAGTCCTGCCAACAGAAGCTGACCCCTAGGATCTTGATCGCCTCTCCCAGCACCGTTATACCGGTCGACGGCCCTCGAATAGCCTGGGGTCACTGAAGATCAGCATCTCACTCTTCCTCACATTTACGTTAGATCCCGAGGCCAAAAATAATCTATCCGCGAGTCCTAGGGCCTCCCATACCGAGGAGACATCCCCACAGGAAATGACGACATCGTCCATATACATGGCTATTTTTGCTGGCTCCCCTGACCGCCTGGGCAAAGGGCTCCATTCACAATATGAATAACACCGGTGACATAGGGAGACACCCCTGTCGCACACCTGACCCAGTTGGTATCTCCTCAGAGAGGACTCCATTTATCAGCAGGCTGCCCGTGAGCTTATGATGCAGCAGTTGCCTTATCCAGCCGATCAATTGTTTCCCCACCCCCATCACCGCGACCCCGCGTCTCCCCCCCCCCACCTCCCACGCGTCCCTGCTCCACCACCCTGCTGCTCACACCGCCCCCCCCCCCCCCCCCCCCGTGCGTGGGCTCCCCGACACGAGCAGGTAGCCGAGAAGCGGCCTTCGCGCACGCCGTGATGGCGGCGGCCGTGGCGTACGCCATCACGGCGGCGTGCGGCCGGGGCGACCGGAGCTGGTGTGGCTGCGACGGCGCCAAGCAGGGCGGCTTCTACGATGCACAGGGCGGCTGCTCGGCCGACCTCAGCCACAGCCTCGAGTTCTCGCGCCTCTTCGTGGACGCGCGCGAGGTCCAGCGGAGCGCGTGCACGCTCATGAACCTGCACAACAACGCCGCCGGGCGCAAGGTGTCAGCGATTTCCCCACACCAAGCACTCCTCCAGATCCAATCCAACGCAGGCGCTGAAAACAAAATCACCCCTCCCCACTCTCTCCCTCCCCCCTTCCCACCCCCCATTATCCTACCTCTTCTCCTCGTCATTTTTCCGGCACAATGCTTATTTTTAGCTAAGGAAAGCTGTCTCGAGTGTGGACCAATTAACTTCAAGGACAGTGCATATCATTATCATCATCAGAGTTGTTTCTTTTTGTTTGCATTTTGACTGCTTGTGTTGTGGTTCTTGTGGTTCTTGCAAACATGTCAGTTTTTGTACCAGTTGAAAGGGTAAAAACCTATCACTATATTTTGCCACTGGTAAAGGAGGTGTCTCATAGTGTAAATGGGGTTGTTGCTGGGCTCTGGTCCAATCACACGGCCGGGGTATTGCGGGGGCGGAGCCTGGTCTGCGGGGCGTGTGGGAGGGGCCACCGGTCACCTCGGCAGCTCCAATGGGAGGCGAGGTGAATGGGGGCGGAGCCAGCGGGGCAGTATGGGAAGGCCGGATCTGACGATCCGGAAGGGGAGGAGTCAGGATCACGTGGGGGGAATGGATATAAGTGGGAGCCCGGAAGAGATCGGGGCAGTCGGGGAAGTTGAGAGGCTGAGCCACGCTGGGTGGTGAGAGATCCGCGCCATCGGCCACGTGGCCGAAGGTCCTCAGCACGCCGTCGGCCAGCGGGGTGCGGAGTGCGGGAGTAGAGGAGCTAACGGAGGAGCGTGCGTGGCACGCGAGAGGAGACGACGCTGGTCCGTGGAGGAGACCAGCGGGGTGCGGAGAAGAACCTAAATAGAAGACAAGCGGAGACCAGCAGTGGCTGATGGAGTCTTTTATTACATGTTTGTGTGTTGCCATAAAGGCTCATATATTGGAAAACTCCAGCACAATTGCCGCTGGTGTAATAAATTATTAAAGTCAAAGTCTGTCTCTGTCTCTCTGTGTCTCTCTGTGTCTCTCTCTGTCTCTCTCTGTCTCTCTCTGTCTTTTTGTCTCCCCCCCCCCCCCCCACTTGTCCCCACCTACCTCCCCGATGCTCTCCTGCCCTCTCGTCTCTCTCTCCCCACCACGCGCCGCCAGGTGCTGGAGGAGAAGATGAAGACGGTGTGCAAGTGCCACGGAGTGTTGGGCTCGTGCACCACCAGGACGTGCTGGGCCACGCTGCCCCAGTTCCGCGAGGTGGGCTCCGCACTCAAGCGCAAGTACGACGAGGCGGTCCACGTGGAGCCGGTGCACGCCGGCCGCTACCGCCACCGCTACCCCGCCTTCCTCCAGGCGAGGCGCTCGCGCGGCCACCGCAAGCCGCTCCACACGGAGCTCGTGTTCACCGAGAGCTCGCCTAGCTACTGCGAGGAGGACCGGCTGACGGGCAGCGTGGGCACGCGCGGCCGCCCGTGCAACCGCACGTCGCCGCACGCCGACGGCTGCGAGCTGCTGTGCTGCGGCCGCGGCTACGACACGCGCCAGTACACGCGCTCGTGGCATTGCAAGTGCGAGTTCCGCTGGTGCTGCTACGTGCGCTGCAGCACGTGCAGCGAGGGGGCGGAGGAGTACACGTGCAAGTGACGGCGGCGGCGGCTCGCTGGGAAGCTGGGGCCCCGACTCCTCCGCCGGCTCGATCGCTCGCCCCGTCGACTGTCGGCCATGGCCCCCACGGGCCTCGCCCCTGGCAACAACAATCATGGCCGGACAAAAGTGTCAGCGGATGTCGCTGCCTGATGGCGCGGCTGTCGTTCCGCACCTCGCAGTTGCCCTCAACTTCCCTCCCTCACCCCACCCCACTCACCACCCCACCCACCGCCACCCTGCGTGATTGCCGACGGGGTGGGGGGGGGGGGCGCCAGGCGGATCCCTGCAAGAGATCTGCAATCGGCTCCCGAGCCTGGGACAAAGTAGCCACCGAGATCTCAGCATGATGGGAGAGAGAGGAGGAGTCGGTGACTCGTCCACATTGCTCACCATGCCCTGCCCCTCCCCCCCACCACCACCTCTGCCCCTCCAACCACATGCTGCTTCTCCCACTCAGATTTGCTGACCACGAGGACCCACAAGTTCTGTATGTCGCCGGCACCGAGTGCAGCATCTCCCAGTGAATCCCAGCGTCCCCCCCCCCCCCCCCCCCCCGGCGAGCATTTCCCTCGTCGAACACGGGGGAAATGCGTGGACTCGATGATCTCGTGTTTTACAGGGAAAGGTGCGCATGGAAGGGCGGCAGATGGTCCAAAAATGTGTGGTTAAATATTTTTTGCATGGTTAATAACATATTTCCAATGATTACTAAGTGTGTACCCCTCATCACGGTTGAAATTATGTCTGTGTTTGTAAATTTGGATGGCCTCGTATACAAACCTTTGATGGTAGCCAGAGGGTTTGCAAAGCACCTTAGTCTCGAAAAAAACAATATCATGAGAGCCCACCGCGTTGTAGCAATGATCGGCAAAGGCGGAAGACTCAATTTTGCCGTGTTTCAAATCTTGCTTGTGCTCGCGGACACGATCAGAGACATGACGTTTCGTTTCCCCAATGTAACAATCACCACAGCTGCAACTCAGTTTATAGACTCCAGGGTATTGCAAGTCAGGGATGACATCCTTCACAGATGGGCTCTCATGATATTGCTTTTTCCGAGACTAAGGTGCTCTGCAAACCCTCTGGATACCATCAAAGGTTTGTACACGAAGCCATTCAGATATACAAACACAGACATAATTTCAACCGTGATGATGGGTACAAACTTAGTAATCATTGGAAAGATGTTATTAACCATGCAAAAAAAGATTTAACTACACATTTTTGGACCATTTTATCTGACAGGCACTATTTTACTTTACCGAGTGTTGACATCCCCAGCGTTTAACAGTACTCTCCTTTTTCGTATTTGATTGTCAGCCAACACTGGTGAAAACAACATGGGCATTTTCGTTCTCTTCTGTCATGTGCACCAACAGGGGCTTGCGCACAAACACGTCCACGTCGACGTCTACGTACACCTCTTTTAGCACCCCCCCCTCCCAATACGTTCCATTCATTGGCTACCACATTCTGATAAGCTCCCCCCCTCCTCCCCCTTAACTTGTATGACCCCAAGAACACCATCCCCACCGTCATACATGGAGGTGGAAACATTATGCGTTGGGGGTGTTTATCTGCTAAGGGGACAGGACAACTTCACCGCATCAAAGGGACGATGGACGGGGCCATGTACCGTCAAATCTTGGGTGAGAACCTCCTTCTCTCAGCCAGGGCATTGAAAATGGGTCGTGGATGGGTATTCCAGCATGACAATGACCCAAAACACACGGCCAATGCAACAAAGGAGTGGCTCAAGAAGAAGCACATTAAGGTCCTGGAGTGGCCTAGCCAGTCTCCAGACCTTAATCCCATAGAAATATGTGGAGGGAGCTGAAGGTTCGAGTTGCCAAACGTCAGCCTCGAAACCTTAATGACTTGGAGAAGATCTCCAAAGAGGAGTGGGACAAAATCCCTCCTGAGATATGTGCAAACCTGGTGGGCAACTACAAGAACGTCTGACCTCTGTGATTGCCAACAAGGGTTTTGCCACCAAGTACTAAGTCATGTTTTGCAGAGGGGGTCAAATACTTATTTCCCTCATTAAAATGCAAATCAATTTATAACATTTTTGACGCGTTTTTCTGGATTTTGTTGTTGTTTTTCTGTCTCTCACTGTTCAAATAAACCTACCATTAAAATTATAGACTGATCATTTCTTTGTCAGTGGGCAAACGTACAAAATCAGCAGGGGATAAATACTTTTTTCCCTCACTGTATATATGATGGTAATTTTAGCTGATGGAACAGGAAATAATCGTGATTAAATGTATGTAAGTATACATTAATACAGTATATATAAAGTAGAAACAAGCGGAGTGCCACATGAGGCAGTTTATCTCTTGGATAAATCATACCAAAATAACGGGTACGTAACTTTCTTAGGGTGATATTGCATCTAAGCTGATACTTTTGTCTAGACGACTAAATGCGACATTAAACTAAGAACGAGTCAGGCTGTCGTCGCTGCAGCGTCATTTATTCACAACTTACACATTCAGTGCATTCTCTAATGAAAATACGAAATGCAGTAAATCCTACTACACAGTCAGTAGCTACTACTGGCTCAGTAGATACTACTGTACAGTCCGTCGAGACAACTACAGAATCAATAGATACTACTTCCTCTGTTGTATGTAGGGCGTGTAGCTATATATAACTACGTGGGGGTAAAGATATGTTTTGAGGGGGGAGTCAACAATTTCCAGAAACCTTTGACATCAACTATTTCCCGCACACTTTCTTTAACTTTTCACGTGAGGTCCAGGCACACCAGGAGGTCCCATAGGACCCTGAGACCCTGGCACACCCTGAACAAACACAGACACAGTTTTAATAAAAACGAGTCTTGTATTTAAATGCCACACATTCATACATGTCAACCCATTCGGCTTACCCCTATTCTTGTACAGGGAAATTTTGATTTCCAGCTCCGTACGGCGTGCAGCCGTTTCAATACGACAAACACGTTCAGCAGGAGACAACACGCCCGTTGAGCACGCGCTAGCTCGGCCACCTACTTGCTGCCCTGCAACGCAGTTACCCTTCACGCAAGTTGACCAACTCGTGCAATCATCTCTGCGTAGGCCACGAGGTTCGTGCCGCCAGCGGCCGGCAGCGAAGTGAAGGGTGAACTCCAACGGCACCGCCTGGTCTGGCGCTCACCGCTCGCGGCAGCGCAGCTACCGTCGAGTGCACAGGCGGTGCAACTGCGCCGGTGCGCCGGAGGGGTCGAAGCACCCGGGTGCGAACAGAGGAGGGCGGGTAGTTGCAAGCCCCGTGCCGGCAATGGTACGACGCTAACGGACGGTGAGCGGCGGCGGGTTCTGCGCCGCTACGTTGCTGGGGCAGTGCACCTCACGCGCTCGTGCGCAAGGCGCCGCACGGCGCAGTTGCCCAATCACACTTGGCTCGGTCGCGTGTCTCTTTGGAGAAGTTCCATCGTTACACGCCTCGTTCACCAAATGTGGTTTGACGTTTACACTATGAGACATCTCCTTTGCCAGTGGCAAAATAGTGATAGGTTTTTACCCTTTTCAACTGGTATAACAACTGACACCTTTATAGAAGGCATCATGTTTGCAATAACCACAACACAAGCAGTCAAAATGCAAACAAACAAGAAACAACTCTGATGATGATAATGATATGCACTGTCCTTGAAGTTGATTGGTCCACACCCGAGACGGCTTTTCTTAGAGCCTAGTCTCCATTGGTGTTGGACCAGATGACACCAAAAGGCGTACAACTCAAAGACAGCGCACTATCAGAGTATTGAGAGCTCGGGGTAAACATTTACACTATGAGACCTCCTTTACCAGTGGCAAAATATAGTGATAGGTTTTTACCCTTTCAACTGGTACTGTCTCGGATGTGGACCAATCAACTTCAAGGACAGTGCATATCATTATCATCATCAGAGTTGTTTCTTTTTGTTTGCATTTTGACTGCTTGTATTGTGGTTATTGCAAACATGATGGACTCATGGCACTTGTTTTATTAAACTCTTGAATAAGATTTGGTTATAACTGTTGATGTTATGTAGCTGTAGATGTGACACAAACTATTGCTTTCTGAAAGATCTTGTAAAAGACAAGGGCAAAATTCACTTGTTTTAAAGTTTAATGATAACAGACCACTTTGCATTACTTATAACTCCTGTTAAAAATGTTCATGAGGTAAAGATATTTAACTCATGGAAATTTAAGGTATTCTATACAGTTTGTTCAATGTTATCTGACTGAATGAAAGGCAGAATTGCGTTTTTAGAGTTGTTCACGTCTGCCTGAGTGGCTTCTATTTGGTTACATTGTCATTTGAAAAATAAAGTTAATTGTGGCAATGAAAATTGTTTTAGAACAGTGTGTGCTGTATGTGCTGTGTGTGTGCTGTATGTGCTGTGTGTGTGTGTGCTGTATGTGCTGTGTGTGTGTGTGCTGTGTGTGCTGTATGTGCTGTGTGTGTGCTGTGTGCTGTGTGTGCTGTGTGTGCTGTATGTGTACTGTGTGTGCTGTGTGTGTGCTGTGTGTGTGCTACTGCTGTGTGTGTGTGCTGTGTGCGTGCTGTGTGCTGTGTGTGTGCTGTGTGCTGTGTGTGTGCTGTGTGCTGTGTGTGTGCTGTGTGTGTGTGCTGTGTGTGTGTGCTGTGTGTGTGTGTGTGCTGTGTGTGCTGTGTGTGTGTGTGCTGTGTGTGTGTGTGTGTGCTGTGTGTGCTGTGTGCTGTGTGTGCTGTGTGCTGTGTGTGCTGTGTGTGCTGTGTGTGCTGTGTGTGCTGTGTGCTGTGTGTGTGTGTTGTGTGTGCTGTGTGCTGTGTGTGCTGTGTGTGTGTGTGTGTGCTGTGTGTGTGCTGTGTGCTGTGTGTGTGCTGTGTGTGCTGTGTGCTGTGTGTGTGTGTGTGCTGTGTGTGTGTGTGTGCTGTGTGTGCTGTGTGTGCTGTGTGTGTGTGTGTGCTGTGTGTGTGTGTGCTGTGTGTGCTGTGTGCTGTGTGTGCTGTGTGCTGTGTGTGTGTGCTGGTGTGCTGTGTGCTGTGTGTGCTGTGTGTTGTGTGTGCTGTGTGTGCTGTGTGTGTGTGTGCTGTGTGTGTGTGCTGTGTGTGCTGTGTGCTGTGTGTGCTGTGTGCTGTGTGTGCTGTGTGTGTGTGTGCTGTGTGTGCTGTGTGTGTGTGCTGTGTGTGTGTGTGCTGTGTGTGCTGTGTGCTGTGTGTGCTGTGTGTGCTGTGTGTGTGTGTGCTGTGTGCTGTGTGTGTGTGCTGTGTGTGTGTGTGCTGTGTGTGCTGTGTGCTGTGTGTGCTGTGTGCTGTGTGTGCTGTGTGTGTGTGCTGTGTGTGCTGTGTGTGTTGTGTATGTGCTGTGTGTGTGCTGTGTGCTGTGTGTGTGTGCTCTCTCTGTGTGTGGTACCTCATGGGGAGCAGTAGTGTAGCTGTTAGCGCTACGCTGCGCTACGAACCCGGCGACCAGAGTTCGATTCCTGCTCACGGCCAATACCAAGTGACTATTATCTGAAACTGTCCTGGGCATCCCCTAGGTAGA